ATTTTTCACTTAGATCTCTAGAGTTCTCAATCCTTTGTATCATTCGTCTACAACATTTGGTTTCCACTAAAATAGGCCTTTGGCAGATTCCAAATCACATCAACTGCTTACTGTCCTACCTAATCATTAAGTGAAAGTAGCCTCCACATTAAGTATTTAAATCAAAGCACAAAATCAGTTAAGACTAACTTTGCAACTTACTCATCTGCTGTTTTAAATGGCAAAATATTTTAAGTAAGAAATTCAGTTCCATAATAAAAGTGTATATATGACAGATATCATTATTTTACTTTATGCTGACATGTCATTTAATGTGTTGTCTTATCCCCAGAATCATACTTTTCATATAAGAATGAAACTTTTTTGTTTAATTTTCGTTGCTTTAACTACTTTGGTGGTTGGAAATTAGGGCAAGACTTAGATATATGGAACTGGAAGTCGCTTAACAACTGCATTCTATTTAACTTGTAAAAAAAATGCTTATTTCTGCTCCAGATAAGAAAATAGAGAAACGTGCTTTGCCCTATGGGCGGCCCAGAGTCCTGCAGCAGAGACATAATTACTGCCTCCTTTACCATCCCCATTATGTGAGTGGGTACAGCAAGGATTATAAGATGTCTCTGTGGAGCGCGTACACTGTTAACAGAGAGGTGAGTATCTGAAGGAGGGTTAGAAGCCATCTTGAAAAGGAAAAAGTTGAGATGTCAGTTATTCCTAAATGCCTGTTTCTGCTGCTCATGGGAACTGCTAGAACCTCAGGGGATAAAAGGAGGATTCTTGCATGATTTTCTCTTCTTGTCCCTGTATTAAGAAGTATTGGCTTTGACTCCTTCCTCTTGCTTGCTGCAGTTTTACTTCCAAAACCAAGCAGATCTGGTAGGAACAGTGAGGAGCCTGTGAATCCCTTGTAGCCACAACCATTGACACCTCTGTGAGGCCCTGTGAACCTGCTTGGCCATGTAGGTCTGTTACAACATGCTACCAGTGGTGTCCTTAAAGTGTTGTCTCAAAGCAGTCTTCATGGTCTCAAAGCAGTGTTCATGGTATGGCAAGGCTCTCTGGAAAAGATAACTTCTGGGATATCTAGAGCCATTCATGCCTTGATCCAGTTGTTCTATCAGAAAATTATCTTGGTGAAAAAAAAGAGAAACTGATGGAGAAAAATCTGTCCTTTGCTGTCCTTAACCTATACTACAATGTGTGTATGCAATGTTCATGCAGAACACTGACCTTGTGAATGAAAACTTTTCTGGTTGCTTTTTCCATTCACAGAAAACTTAGATTCCATATCGCATTTAAAAAAACATTAAAATGGCATAGGAAGGTTTTTGGTTTGATTACTTGAGCTGTAAATTTTAAATGACTGTTTTAGGTAAATCAGATTTATGCGGCAAGATTTGCTTGCTTCTGGATATTTTTGTGAGGCATGAAGCCACCACTTTCTGCAGCTATTTGCACAGTGAATAGAAATGGCTAATAACACATCTGGCTGCCTCTGATTCTCACTCGTTAATGAACAGGTATATTTATAACAGATCAGATGTGAAATATTCCATTAAAAAATAAGATCCTCTATTGCAAATTTACTTTGCCACTATACAGCTCTTCCGTCACACCACTGGTGTCTAACTGGCACATCTGGGTTTCTTTCTGGAGAGTGAAATTCTCCCAAGCTCAGCAAAAATTTTGCAGTTTTGTTTGTTTTATTTATAAAATCATGAAATGGGATGGGGTTTGTTTATGGAGTCAGTTTTTGCACCTTGCAGTTAAGTCTGTTAATACTATTAAAGGCAATTGCAGCTAAATATTTAGAGTTTGGATGTCTAGGGAATTACTGGGAATTACTGAGTCAGCTGTTTGTATTACCAATGTTCCTTCATTCTCATTCAATAGGACAAATGGGTTTCTGCTACAGAAGATATGTCCAGCTGCTTACACAAGGATGTTCGTATTCCTTTTAATCATAACCAGACATGTTCATTTTACAACAATCATCCTCGTCTAACCTATGGATTCCTTTCTCCTCCAAGTAAATACATTACTTCCCTTCTACAATATATCTGACATACAACATACCTTACACAATTTTCAATGCTGTAGGTGCAGTCTTTAATAGGTGTTCCTGCTAATTAACTGGAGGAATCAGTGACTGCTGAATTACTAGCTACATTGTGCACTTCCTTTGGCAGTTCACTTTATTATATGAGAAACCCTCCAGGATGCTCAAGGTCCTTTGTACTTCACGGAAGTTTATTAATGTGTCAGATTTCAAAAGTGAGATCTTTGGGAAGAAACTGGAAGAAATGTGTATACACTGAGGCGAGTCAAATTAGTTGCAAATTAGCAAATTGCAAATTCACTTTTTTGACAGACATTAGTTGGAACTATCCAAAGTAAAATTAGAGGAGACTTCCTTAAATTAAAAACAATCTTGAAAAGTTTGTTTGATATTTGAAATATACTACCATATACCACATGAGGTCTTCAGTAAAATTATTCAGTTTGGTCTGAAAAATGTAAATCTGGTTCTCAGACGTCTTGAAAAATGTTTAATTGTATAGAAGCATTTAGAAACATTTAGGAGTAAACTGTACATGCACTGTTGCTGACTTGATCAGGGAGTCTCTTACATTGACTTTACTGCATGAAGTACTGAGTAGTGGAAAAACATAATTTGCAAAGTTCAGATAGAGCTCATAACTTCTGCACTTAAAATTTGAATAGGATGAAAATCAAAAGCCTGTTCTGCTTTTTTAAAATCTCTTAGAAATATGTCCATTTTTTAATCTGACAAGTACAATTACAGTTCCTGCTGATAAGATTATTTTATTTAGGACCTGATTCAGCATGTACTGAAGTTAGCACTTAGACTTAGGTAATATTTGAAAAGTGAAATTAAGTCAGCCCGACCTTGGCACTGTTAAACTGATCTTGAAGTTTGCATGCAGCTGGCATTTTCATGCTCTTAAAGTACCAAATGCAGTCAATCGATTGCTTTTCTATTTTTTAGATTTGCTGACAGAATCAAAGAAACTTCACTATGATGCCTTACTTACCAGCAATATTGTGCCAATGTATCCTGCATTTAAAGGTATTTTATTTCTATGAATATTAATATACATGTTTGAATGCAAAAAGACTGCTGATTTTTGCTTACTTCCAAATCATACTAAAGGATCCCCAATTCATCTGCCTTTGTAAACTAAGACCTCCCCAGGCTATGGACTCCTTATGAGTGAAAATTTCCTTGAAGTAGGAACATAAGTCTTGGGAAAAATCGCACACCATTTCATGATTCCTAATAATTTGACTCATTACACAAAAGCCTAATGTAAACTTCTTCATTTAATATCTGTGATAATAAGAATTAATTAACAAATAATTAACAATGTCTTAGAAGTAAGGAGAGATTTCAGGTAAACCTAAGGGTTTCATGGGGAAGCCTCAATGTGTCTCAGAGATTTTTGGTTAGGGTGACTGTGAGACTGGAATACCAAGAGACACTGTGGTGCATATTGCTGCTTAGTTAGATGAGCCTTTGAAAACTATAAATGTCTCTATAATTTAGTTTCGTAGCTTAGTGTGTGTTTCAGTATTCTACTGAAAACTCTCTGTGGAGTTTTACTGTAAGATGGTGTGTACCACTTCTCTTTTCGTGTTTCAGTGTTATGGAACTACTTCCATCAAACCCTGCTACCTGAATATGCTGCAGCCAGAAATGGTGTCAATGTAGTCAGTGGTCCCGTGTTTGATTATGACTATGATGGGATCTATGATACCTCGGAAAGGGTGAAAAGGTAAGAATCTTTACTATTCTAGTGCTATGCTTCTTTCTTCCATCTGTGGTCACAAAGTTGTGATCATTGTTATCAAAAAAAGCATGTTGCCAAGATGGGGCTCTTGGTAGGTTGTATCAGTACAGAAGGAAACAATCAAATGGTCCTAAATAGATACAAAACTATAAAGCTAAGAGATAAACAGCAAACACAAAGATTAAACAACAACAACAACAAAACTAGGAATGTGGTATCCTGAAATTAGAGTGCAAGACAAGCAGTTGCTTTGGGAGTAATGTCTGTTAGCCTGAAACTTCATGACATGACCTCTAGGAGTGGAAGAGTCAGGAGCTTAACCTTAGTATCATGTTTGATGCTTTCTGAGACTAGGGAGCTGGCAGTTTCCCTACCAAGTTGCCTGTACAAATACACTAGTTACTTCCAGTTAGCAAAATTGGTTCAACCTATTAGACACGTGGGCTTAGGCTGAACTGTGAACTCTTCTCTAGATTCTTACATTTTTTTAATGAAACTGCAATTTCTCCTTCTCATGCCTTGTGAAACTGATTTTTAGATCAGCCAAATCTCAGTAGCAAATTTCTAATATGGACTTTGATAACAGCTGATCTCAGTAGCAAATTTCTAATATGGACTATACCATCAACTTTGATAACAGCTGAAGTTTTCTTTCTAGGCCTAAATTTTCTTCAGGCTAAATGGTCAGGTAGATTACTAAAATATATCTACTAGAGTATAGCTGATTATTGTGTCACTTTTTCTTTGTGTAAGTATGATTTGGTAGATTTACAGAAAGCTCCTCTGCATTTCAGACACCCTGGTAATTCAGAAATTCCAATTCCAACTCACTTCTTCATTGTGCTGACTAGTTGTAAAAATACTTCTGAAACTCCTTTGGAGTGTGAAGAGTCTTTAGATACGTTGCCTTTCATTGTACCTCACCGAGAAGACAACAGTGAAAGCTGCACAGTAAGTAATCTGTTCAGTTTCCTGAACAGCTGAAGCCAGGACCAAGCTTGTTTTGCTCAGATATCAATGATTAAACTGTTTGTGTTTTATCATGTCAGCAGTCTTGAAGGAAGACAACATTTTTAAAAACAGAATTACTTTGAAATATATATGCATGCTTAAGTGTGAAAACTGAAGCTCCCTGTTCATAAGGCAATGTATGTAGCTGGAGGAACTGCGTCAGTGTGTTGAGAAAGTCGGTGTGATACATGCATGATTTTCTGTAGCACAAATATCTAGTCTTAATGGCTGAGAGTGGTGAAAAGTTTCTAGAAGATGTGTCATCTACAAAGGAGATTCAGTGGTAGGTCATGTGTCTTCCTGAAAGCAGAAGACAGATGTTCCCAAAGCAAAACAGTTGCTTCCAGTTAAAATAACTTCACACTATATGATGGGAATGAAGAGCTGTGCTCCATATTTATATATATTTTCCAGAAGAAAACCTGGAAAGTGTGATCACCTGTGCTACAGAGAACGGTTACACAACGCACTGGCCAAGTCAAGCACAGCTCTCAGCAGTAGTTTTCTAACCACCAGAGATGATGGATAGATGTTGGACTTGACATGGGATTTCTCATTGTCACTGGCTACCACAGATGTAGTTGCAAGTTCTGTGTACTTGAGAAAGTGATAGCAAGTACTAGCAATTTAGGCAAACTTGTAAGTATTTAGAATCTAATGCTCCTGGTATATTTTAGAAATTTGCCACCAGTTACAGCTTTCTGTCTTTTTCTTTCTGTCTTGGTAAAACACTAGAATACCTTTTCCTGATTGTTTTTGGGAAAAAAATGAAAAAAAAAAAACCTTTTCTTTTTCTGTCTCAAAAGGATGGCAAGTCTGAGTCCATGTGGGTTGAAGAGAGAATGAAGTTCCATACAGCCCGGGTCAGAGATATAGAATTACTTACTGGACTTAGCTTCTATCAAGACAGAAAACAGCCAGTATCTGAGGTTTTGCAGTTAAAAACATATTTGCCAACGTTTTAAACAGGCTGATTTTTTTTTTTTTTTTTTTTTTGCTATGGAATGATGTGGTCTATTTCAAAACTGTTCTATGAATAGACTTTTAAAACAAACTGTTTTTTTTTTTTTTTGTGATAAGCTGGAACATTTATTGAGAACTCTTGACCAAAATGCCAGTAGGGAGGAGAGTGGGCATCTCATTTGTTTCTCAGGGACTGCTGATGGACTACGTACAATACAGGATGACGGTGCCTGTCATTCCCACTTGAATGTGGTAGAATGGTGCCCATTACTAAATGCTACCAGGATTGGAACATGATAGTTTAAGGCACTGAGGAGAATATCTTTTACATGCACTGGACAGAGAGAAGCTTATTAATCATGTGTCAATAGTATACTTTAAAAATAGAAGTAATTGGCAAATATCTTACAGTTCTAAGAAATAATGATATTCTCAGTGATCAGTGTATCTTGTTTCCTGTGAAGCAGGAATTACATGTAAGGTTTGGTTTCTTAAAATAATGCATACAATATATTGAAGTTAGCAGAAAGACTTGATTTAATCAGTCTTCTCCCGCATGGGATAGAAATTTAGCTGAACAAGCTGTTTTGTTAGCTAGGAGGTATTAGAACTTTGCTGTCCTCTGGTGGCTCCAGCACTGAATGAGAAGTTGATGGACATTTTGCCTACGTTAATGTGCATCACCAGAATGAGTAGGAATATTATGCATCAGTTCATCTGAAAAGATAATAAGTAATTCAAGAAAATCTCTGAGCTCCCAGAAATAATTGTCTTCAAATTCAACTTAGATTTGATTATGAGATTTTGCTTTCTTGAAGGAAAAATGCCTTTTTAGATTTGGTGCATAATTTTATCATTTGTGGTTTTGATATCCCATTTTTGGCAAGAAGAGATATTTTTGCATTAGATTGTTGCCTTAATTACAATGGTAGGATTACCCTCTGTGGTGGCAAAGGTTTTACTCCTCAATACTTCAGTAAATTCCTAGAGGCTACTTTGTTGTTTGTTGGCAGCACGTGATCCTAGTTTTTAGCCTTTCAATTAGTGCTATATCATCCAAATTCCAGCTTACATAAGTTACCTATCTAGAAAGCAGGCACCTCCAAATGCAAATCCAGAAAAACATGTAATGAGCTTTCTGGGAAGCTGTCAGGCCCTACAAACAGCTGCTAGAGGCACTCAGGTGTGTAGCAACTCCCTTCTTTTCCAGCACACACGCTATCAACTTTGCTATTAACCCCCTGTCTAAAGCTGATGAGCCAAGATTGGCTCTGTTATGTATAGCGTTTGGCACAGTCAATTACACATTTATATTTTGCACATTTAAAAAAGAAAATACTTCACCCACAAGTATGCTAGAAGAATGAAGAGCCTGTGTTTGAGCACTAAGCTGGGATAGCTATCTTAGAGCTTAGTCAGGGAATGTTGGTTGAATTCAAAGCCTGCTGATGTTAATGGCAGTTTTTCTGTTAATGTCAATTTGGGTGAGCTGAGATCTTGGGACCATTTTCTCTTTTTAACCAAATGTATTTTTTCTTGATTTTTCTGTTACAAGCATGATCTTTTTTTTTTTTTTTTCTAAAATAGTTTCACTATGTGAAATTAATGTGTTGTAGCAACCTCATATTGACATGACTGTGACAACATTGTTCAGTGTAACTGCTTTGTGCCATTGGCTTTGACTAATAAAAACATCAGGAGACGTATGCTGTTCATGACACTTTCTGTATCAATTTCTACTAGTTAATTAAATATCAGTGCTGATATATGGCACTCTTTCATTTCGATTTAAAATTCTTTCTTTGTAAATTGTTTATATTTTTTCTACAAACTGGAGTTGTGAAGTTGGATTCACTGGTAGCAGAGAGAACTTTGAAGAAAGATGGTCAGAAACCATGATCACCAAGTATGTGGTGGATTATTTTAGCAGCTTCCCTTTATCAAGAGTGATCAATAAAGGCAGCATTTGCTAAGCCTGACTGTGGAGAAATAAGTACATTATCTGATGCTCTGATAAAAGATGGAGCTTGGGAGAGGGAAGCAGGTACATGTGCAATAGTAGGACTAATGCTGCTGCTAAAATATGGTTAGGACAAAGTAGTAGGAAATCAGTCATCTCAAACCCTTTCAAACTGAAATGGTTCCTGACCATGATGCCCGATTTCACACGAGCTCGTGAGGAGCTGCATACGTACATCTCCTTTCTCAAGGCTGTTTTTGACTTTCAGATTTATAAATGTAAACAACATAATGCAAGAGACATGCACTAGTATACCAGTGAATCAGTAAAGTGGGAGGAGATATTTACAAAATATTGTTAAATTTGTTATTTGTGTTCAGTGGATGACCCCAGCTCTAATAAAGACCATTAACATCTTCAGAGAAGTGAAGCAATGCTGATTTCTATTAAAAGAAATAGGCATGCTACCTTTTGTGTAAAGATGGAACATTTCTGGCATGTTCTCTACACTTTCTAGGAAAGTAGCCTATTCCAATTGCAGATATAAGGGACAGATGGAAATATGAGGACAAAAAACCTGATATATGCCTTGCTAGTAATGGTATTCAGTTCCCAATCTTACCCTATGCTGGACTGTGTTTTTGAAGCCTCAGAGGCCCCAAAGAACATGCTAGAACCACCATCAAACTGTAGCAAAGCTACAGCTTCGTCTATATGGGTACAAACCAGTTTTTCTGTTTAAATGGTACTGTTTGCTGAGCTCTATTTAATATTCTTAGTAGGTGAAACAGGAAAGTGTTGTAGCAGCACTGCGTGATGACATGGCTGTCAGCGCTAGTCAGTGTAATGGCTTCTTAACATCTGCTGTATAGTCTGGCCTCTTACAGGCCAAAAAAAAAATGACCGTGAAGAGGCAATCCACAGGCTCTCCGTCTGGAGTTGTGTAGCAGTGTTGTGTGTCACCAGGTAAGGCACCAGGAGATGCTGTATGTGGCAACTGGGCCGCACCAACATGGGCTAGTGCTGACCTATCTAGAAAAGCAGCAACTGTGATCTAGAGACCAATCTTGAGGCAGAAGCCAATGGAGACATTCCCCTGGATAACTTAAGGCAGGCAAGTGCTTGGTCAGAAAACTATTGCCATCATGCCATTTGAACATTTGCACTGCAGAGATATTTAAAAAAATGAGGAAAATTGTTGTGGAAAAGCATTTTGGAATGACTTGTGCATCTTTGCTTATGCCTGAAGGATACAATCATGTCCTTTGCGTGGACTGAGTTGTCAGAGTGTCAGAGCAGTCAGTGATTTAGGGAAACAGAACCTGTGACTGAAGACAGAAGAAATCCTGTGTTTGTTTAGTCTAATGAAAGGAAAGGTGAGGGAATTTGTGCTGGGAGCCTCCATAGAGGTAAAAGATTATTCCAGCATGGACTTAGTCTTTTGACCACTATGGGCCTCAGATGGCTGACACTGGTACATCTGCGTGCAGGCCGTCTGACTTCCACCTAACTCCCTGTTACCTAGCGACTGACAATGGGCTCTCTAAATATGACTTAAATAAGTGATAAAAATAGAAGGCAGGAACCTGAACTCTGTCCTTTGAACCCTTGTTTCTCAATGCTTCTGCCTGATAAAATGGAGATAGCAGTGAGAGCTACGCATCTGTTGTAAATAGGTTTGGAAGCACTCTGGCCATTCCCATCTCTCCTGCCACTGCAGCCATGCAGCAAACCCCATACAGAAACAGTGCTAAGAGAGGAGGGAAGAAAACAACAACAAAAAAACAAGTAAGTAGTTTTGGCTAGAATGTGTTGTCTACCTGGGTTCATTGCATGACCTCAGCAGATGGGAGGAGTGTGCAGTGGTAGCAATGAGCAGAGAGAAGAGGGTCAGTTCAGTACTGCTGCTGAATGAGGAGCTGAATGAGGTGCAGCCAGGCCTCCAGATACATGTCCCCAAAGAGGTTTTGTTGGCTAAATCTCACTTGGCAATCTGGCCCTCTTGCCCCACTGAAACTTTTCTTCTATCTGCAGAGGAGTTCTGCCTGGTGTTCAATAGTTATGAGCTGGGAACACATTTAATATTCAGGAGTTAACAGTATGTCAATAAGCTACTCATTAACTGAGCACTGTTTATTTGTGCAAAGGGTGAGGCATGTTGTAAAATCTGTGGTAATGTCACCAAAGCAATTACCTAACTACTACCAAATTATGATCACCTTGTAGCATTTCCCTCTGTCTCAGGATGTAATTTTGCAATCTTAAAAATGCCCCAATAGTTTACCTATCTATAGAGAAAGGTGTGAAGGCAATACCTTACAATGTAGCTTTTCCAGTCAGTTTCTGCAGGCGGTATTTCTATCCAGAATAACCTAATGTATATATCATTTACCAAATTAACCAGCTCTGACTTTCTGAATGTAAATATGTTTCTGCTAACAGATGCTAAGTTTATGCCTCCTTAAACACCAGCTAGTCGCAGCCATGCTCCCTCTAGTGTTCTTGATGTAATTTTGATCTCGGAGTTCCCTTCAACCTTTTATAGATCTGTAAGTTACAGTATGAAAATAACGAGAAGATGAATGATCTTTAATAAAGAATTCAATGCAACATTCAGAAATATGAATTTTTAAAATCAGCCTTCTTTCTTCAGAAGGGGTTGTTTCAGGACATGCCTATATTAAATTTTTCCAACAGGCTCAAAATGTAATAGAGTTCTCTGACTCTTTCAGCTGCTAAATAAAACTTGCCTTATTCCCTTCATCCTACACTGCCACAAACAGCTTTCTTCAGTGCAAAAAATGAAAATTTGCCTCTCTGTAATGTAGGAGGACTAGAAAGTCTCTCTGTTTTGAAATGGCCAACATCAATACCTTTAGTCTGGTTTAAGTGTATTGTTTCATATGGAAAGGAGTTATTTCAGTAAGAAAGGCACCCCCAAAAACGTAGTATAGATTTAGGACACTTGCCTAGATGGTCAGAGATCTGAATTCGGGAGTTTGCTCCAAGTCAGGTTCTATCATATTTTAAAAGGAAAATGAA